CTTTATACCAAAATGAAGCCCTAAACTAGTAGAACACGATCCTACAAGTTTTAAGGCCTAAAAATACAAGATTATACCTGTCCAAATTCTCTAAAAACGGCCAAGCTCGAACCAAGCTTTTCTGACGTCCACTTCCGTCCAACGATACACTCCGAGGTTCCTTGGGACCTCACAAACACAACTACAAACTTCAAAATCCCAAAAACTAGCTAGATTAATCTTGCATGAACAGTACACGAATCTGCCATTGTAGATTCAACGTAAAAACAACGGATTTCATACCTGAAAATGGTATGATCGTGCTCCCCTCGACCTCACGATCTCGATTGTGAGCTTAGATTGTTCGATCTGTGGTGAAATAGTGTAGGTGTGTGTGTGTGTCCGTACCAGTTCAAAGGAAGAGGAAGAAGAAAGGGAAAGGGAAAGGAAACATGGGAGAGAGAGAGAGACAGGGAAAGGGACAGAGAGAGTGAGTGTGAGAGTGTGGGTGTGTGTGTGGCCCAACACATGCCCACACCACACGAAACAACCACTAAACGTAAACGAACCGAACTAGGGCAAAGTTGTAATTTCTCACGTACGTTAACATGAATTTTGGGACGGGATGTCACATAGTTTTGAAAATGATAAAAAAAAATTAATAGTATACCAAACGGGCCTAAGTTTTTGCAATTAAATTAATTTGCAAGATATAGAGTAACCAAAATTCTTTATGAGTACATGCATGGTTCGGTAAATTTCTAATGTGGGATATTTCTTCGTTTTCTCACACGTTTCCTTATGTGTGGAGAATTTTCAAGTTCAATATGTGAATAACCGAGTGACACGAAATACGTATAATGGTTAGGCTTCACATGTAAGCCAATTTTCTCTGATTCCTTGAATCACATACAAAATTTGTTGAAATTCCGATAGGGAACACTTCTTCACATCCTTTCATTCCTATTCTTATCTTCACACTAGCTCAGGCTGTGAAATAATTTTATTTGCAGAATCTTGAATGGAGTGATCCAAATTAAATAACTAGTCAATTGTCTTGGAATAAAATTTGTGTTGGTTGCCTTTGGATTTATTTGTAGGTCAAAGAATATTGCTGCAGTGACGGAAGACCACAACCATGTAATTAGAGGGGATGTAGAAGGAAAAAGACAAAGTTTTGAAGAAAGTTCTTTGGGGCTTTTGATTGGCCGAAGTAGGATTGGATTTGGCTATCTAAGACCAATTCCAATTTAATTAACAAACTGAATAATTTGAGATTATACTTTCTCTATATAAATTTTTTTTTAACAAATAATATATCTACACCAAGAGAGTGGAGGAGTGGATAAGTGGGCTAAACCTCATAATGGGTTAGGCTTAGCCCACTCCCCGCTCTATTAGCGTAAATAATATCGTTTGTTCATAAATAAATAAATAATAATAAATAAATGTTAAAATGAGCGGGAGATCTAGTTCAATTCTTGCCAAGACGAATCTAAATCACATTGCTACTAGCCTATTATGAGACATAGTTCACTCTCCTACACTCTTACTGTAGATAATATCGTTTGCTAAAAAAATTGAGTGACATAAATGAAACAAATCCAACACAAGCTCCACTAATCCAAAGGAATCTTTATAATTAGTCCAGATGAAGTCAACCTGATGGATCAACTTTGACAAAGGTAATATGAAAACCTCTAGTGTGCAGGAGTTTTGCAAATTTAAGCGTTGCCTTGATATGGCTTCACGTCGGAACTGGAATGCAAACAGCGTGAGGCTTAGTAGCTACTGTTGTGGCTGTTGAGAATGAATCTTACATTGATGAGAAGAGGGATCTTACATGTACTTATAAGTAGTTAGGCCACTCTTTATATTGTCAATTGGTTTTGTGGTGAAACCTCAACTTTTTCATGGTATCAGAGCATGTTGGCCCACGTGTGAAGCCTAATAGTAACACGTGCTCCATGTCATCCAATTCATGTTGTCCACGTGCTTGGCTTGAAAATTCGTCATACATGAGGGGCCTTGTGAAAATGTGAAAGTAAAAGAGTCTCACATTGGTGAAAGAAGAAATCTTGCAAGGACTTATAAGAGGTTCGGCTACTCTCTACATTTACAATTGGTTTTATAGTGGAACCTCAACTTTCTTTAAAGTGTCAGAGCGGGTTGTCTCACGTGTGAAGCTCAACGGCCACACATGCTCCACGTCACCGAGTTGTGTTGTCCACGTGTTAGGCTTGAAAATTTACCACACATGAGAGGTCAGGTTGAGAATGAATCTCATATTGATGAGAAGAGAGACCTTGCATGTGCCTATAAGTAGTTAGACTACTCATATTACCAATTGATTTTATGATGAAACCTCAATTTTCTTCAGTGCTTTCACGTCTTATGTGCTTGCATTGCAGTGCAGATTGTTTATAGTGCTAGTAGTGAGCTACTTTTCAACATATATGTGGTTTAAGTTCAATGGTAATCCATTTTCTTGTATTTGAATTTAGAGAGATCAAGTAAATTCAGGGAGATGTGAAAGAAAGTAGGCATTCTTTGAAAATAGAAGCCAGCAAAAGAAATATGTACTATAATGTAAGGGTTAAAAATCTGTACTTAATCACGAGTTCTCGACTTTTCCCCTAGAAAAAGAGAAATATGTACTATAATGTAAGGGTTAAAATTTTGTAGGCAAGATGCTTTAAGATAATCTGGTTAGTGATTTACCTCTAAAATCAAAGCCGACTGGCAATTAGTGGAACTGGACTTAGTGGACCTTCAGTTCTTGCGTCATTTCTCATTACAGAATCACGTTTTAATTTTTTTTTTTATATCACTAAGGGAAATGATAAACGCACACTATCTTTCTTCTTCAACACATATTATTGTTTAATTTTGTCTGTTATTTCTATTTTGATTATACAATCTGATGACCAAAAATATGGAAGGGTGGGTGAGAAGTTGAAAATTGGGTGTGAAAAATCAGCTCCCATTGCTAAAATATTCTGTAATCATCTCAATTTTCATAGGTAATATGTGGATTAGTTCTTCAAGTACTGCTCTCCTGAGGAACAAAGGTGCGCTAAATCCCAGCTATAGTGCAGGTTATTTTATTTTATTTTTTTTCGAAGATGGTGCAGGTTATTTATTCTTAGACAACAGTTGTTGCTATGTAGAGAGCTAGTCAACATTCTATTCTACTGCCCGCGGTAAACCTATTTCTTCTTCTCCTAGCCAAAAACCCTTTTTTAAGTATGGCCTGTTTTCATGGTTTCTTGGCTTTTTATTATTTTTCGTTCTTCTAAATTTAAGCGTTGCCTTGATATGGCTTTGAGTCGGAACTGGAATGCAAACAGCGTGAGGCTTAGTAGCTACCGTTGTGGCATCCATTTTGGATTATGTTTGCATCGCGGTGCAGCTTGTTTATAGTGCTTGTAGTGAGCTACTGTTCAACATATATGTGGTTTAAGTTGAATGGTAGTCCAGTTTCTTGTATTTGAATTTAGAGCGATCAAGTAAATTCAGGGAGAGATGTGAAAGAAAGTAGGCATTCGTTAAAAAATAGAACACAGCAAGACAGCTACTTGATCACGACTTCACGACTTTTCTACTAGAAACAGAGAAATGTGTACAATAATGTTAGCGTCAAGAATCTGTAGGGAAAAGTCTTTGAGATAATCTTGTCAGAGATTTGCTTTTAAAATCAAAGTCGCCATGCAACTAGCGGACCTTCTATTCTTGTGTCATTTTGCGTTATAGAATATCACTTTTAGCTTTTTTGTACATTGCTAAAGGGAAATGATAAGTGCACACTTTTTTTTTTCTTCTAAACATGGATAACTATTTGATCTTGTCCGTTGTTTCTATTTTTGATTATTGAATCTGATGTCCAGAAATATAAAAGGGTGAGTGAAAGGTTAAAAATAATGTGTGAAAATCAGCTCCCATGGCTAAAATATTCCGTAATCATTTCAATTTTCATAGGTTATAGTAGTAAATATGTCTGCGCGTTGCTGCGGAACTTGAATGCACCAACTTTAACTACATGAATAAGACACATTTAACTTGAAAAAAATTCAACGTAATCATGAACGAATAAAAGGGATAGATGAGTGAACAGTGTCGGTAAGATAAGCAGCTTGGCTTTTATATACATTCAACCGAGCTGATTACAAAAGATGTGGTTATAAAAAAAAAAAGCTCTGTTTCCTTGAGAAAAAGAAGCAACAGCCCCGTATGCTTGACCAATGGTTCCATACTCGTTTTCAATCTGGTATAATTGAAACAACAATTAACCCATAGAAAGGTTGTGTTAAGTGCTTCTGGAAAAAGGGTTTGCTGGACAAAATGTTAAGCCTGCTCTCTTTCATCCAAACAAATGATCCTTTAAAATTAGATAAAACCACTACTAATGCTCCCGACCATAAATTAGAACATACTCTTAGTCTTAAAAAAGTGTATCACATGTCTACTGGCAAGGCAAGATGTAACCCACTGAGTTTTCTGGTGACAAAATCACCAGCAACTAACTATATGTATAGGAGCCGGAATATGTATCACATCATTCTTTAGTGCTTATCAAGAGTATTTTCTATTAGCATGTTTACGAATTCTCTAGTATGTTGATCAAAAAGTAAACAAATTCTCTTATGTTTTCAGTAATCGTACTTGGCGGTGAAAAAAACAATGTTTACTGATGCATTCTAATTAAGGACAAATAATAATCCGCCAATGGAATTAGATCTACACAGTCAATTGAACATGTCAAGTAAAATCATATGGCAAGGTGGACTTCCTCTTCTGCATTTAATGGTGAATTGAAGACCAATGCCAGAGGTAAAACAAGAGTAAGTACAACCCGACTGCAGCAACAAAAACACAACTGACTTTCACACTACAAAAAAAAACACATACTTGCACCCAATGCATTTTTTTTTTTTTCTGTGTTGTATAAGAATAAAGAAGGATAACATTCCCCTGAAACCAAATTCTTCCCCCAATTTCTTGCAATAAAGAGGGAGACCAACCTTGTGTTCTCGGAGAACAGTAGAACAATTAGACACAACCAGACTGATCCAACTTCCCACTATGATAATGAAAAACTAAAATTAATAAAATAGCTCAAATCATATCAAAGTATGTCACAAAGTACACCATTTGATAATCAATAAATTTAACAAAAATGGATTCAACTCACTCCAAGGTAAGCAAGCTTATTAATCATCTTGTCATAGTAGTAAGTGAACTTGAAATTCCCCTCTAACGTGATCAACCCTTTTTTATCCATAGTTAAAGACCCTAAAAATGTAAACGCCTTATCCATACTTTAAATTTACACCCTTACACCCCCATTTTCCTAGACTTTCTCAGGAACAAAACAAAACATATAACACTCAAAATCCAAATCAAACAAACTAAAATAACCGAGGGGGAGACCCCCATCATGCTCTCTAAGGACATTGCAATGATTTGAGGCAACCAGAGTGATCCAAGTCCTTACTGTGATCATGAAAAATTATAATTAATAAAATCACTCAAATCATATACAGCATATCACAAACTATGCCATCTGATAATCAATGAATTTAACAAAATTTAAAATGAATTGGAGTCGCTCCAAACAGTGATATTATACATATACATTTACAACAACAAAAAATTCAGTTTATAGCAACTGGGATCAAAATAAAAATACAAAACACTAATTTAAGTATCCCACACACAAAAACTTCGCACAAAGATCATTAAAAAAACCACCCAAAACAACAACAGAGATAACCAATATGAGAAAAAAAAACTCTAAAAATTTAAATTAACAGTTTAAAATTTTAATTCAGAAGAAACGATATTAGTTAAATAACCTAGAATGTAAAATTAATACAGAATAACAGAGATAAACACATTCTCAATTCTCTTTTGCAGGCAAAAAGACAGAAACTGTTTAAAACAAAAATAGTTGAAGAGTTTAAAAATTTAACTCAGAAGAAACCATATTAGTTGAGTCAACCTAGAATGTAAAACTAATACAGAATAACAGAGAAAAACACATTCTCAGTTCTCTTTTATGGGCAAGAAGACAGACACCGTTAAAAAAAAAAGTCAAAACTTCACTCTGTATCAATTAATCAATAGTCTAAAGTATGAAAAAAATTTGATTTCAAAGCCTTCCTTAGGAACTATGGTATCCATGAAACCTCAAGCTGCAAGGAAATACTGCTTTTGGAAATTTTCAATATAAATGGTTTTGCAAACCAGCCACTAATGAAACATCTAATTTCAAACAAATAATAAAAGCTTTCTTTAACTGACACATTATCCTTCTTCTTTCCTCCCATTAACTTCCCACCCTCCCTATTAATCCTTCCATTTTGAAACTCCTCCTTAATTCTTGCTATTCTGCACAAAACCTGCCAAATCTTTCCCTCACTTCTCAAAACCCAAATAATCACTTCAAATGCACAAAATTACAATTAAATCAATATTACATTACACAAAATGACATTCAAAACCATAATACACTAAAACCAAGGGTGAATTCAACACCCTAAATAAGTGGAAGCATTCGTACCTCAAATGAATTTGCAGCTTAATTTTCTTGCTGACAAACCGTGACCTATAAAACCAAATTACATATATCAACATAAAGGAATCAATGTAAGAAACCAAAGTACCATTTGAAATACCAGTGGCATAGCCTCTTGAGCTTCGAAGCATGAAAATTCCAAAAAATACGCAATCTTTGAAATACTCATTTCAATTAAACATCAGAAGAATTTTCCCTTCCAATTCAAAGCTTTCAAAAAAATTGAAAACTTCAAATTCTCAGTGACCAAGCAGGACATTAACCAATCAAGATCCTAAACCCACAAAATCAATCCTAAAACGAAACCTAATAAAGTACTATGTACATATATAACATGTTAGCTTTCTACTTTAAGAAAAATTATTAAATTGGGGAAGTGATCAAATGGGATGGGTCTTCCCTATTAAGCAGCAGGATTAATTCCAACAAAAGAAAACAATATGATCAAGATCAAGAACAATGCATGCAACAAAGAGACAGAGAGAGGGTGTGTGGAAATTAGCAGGGTGGTAGAATTCCACACAGAGAGATCCTGAGTGACGTTGGAGATCTCTTCCTTAGCTTTCTTAAAAAGATTTCAGCATACGAACTCCTACCCAGTCAACCTCACACAAAATTAGTTCAAAATTAAACATCTAGTCCCTAAATTAACAAAAAAAAAAAAAAAAAAAGACAAAATCTAGCGAGAGATCCAGCCATCCGTACAATAATCGGATAAACAAACACCAATAAAAAGAGGAAAGGAAGAGATTCTGACAATATTATTATCTTAATTATTGGAATTGTACGGAACTTAGAGAAATGCATGCTAAAATGTACTTATAACGGTGTTTAATTATCAGAAAACTAAAATTATCTTTTTTGTAATTTTCAAGTTGTTGAAAAAAAAACATGTATACCCGTTAAAAAAGGGGTAAATGGGTAAAAAAATGATAAACGGGTAAATGAGTAAACAGTTATGGTTAAATGGGTGCACGGTTATGAGTATGGTTAACTGTTTATAAACGTTAATGGGTATGTGTATAACCGTTTATGTAATTACCTAATGCGTAAACGGTTATAATGGTATGAACATAAGCGGTTATGAACAAATAACCATGGTTACCCGCTCGCCATAACCGTTGCTCATTTCTACTCACATCCCCGAAACTACCGAATGAAGAATGAAGAGGCGATGGTAATTTTGTAAATCAAACCATAAGTTCTAAACAATGAATTTAAAACAGTGCATTGCCTGTTGAATGAGACGAAAAAACTGAAAACCCATACCGCTCCCATACCTCTCTCTGTCATTCTCTTCTCACTGATCATGTGCGGTAACCCATTAACCCCAAAAAATGCACACATCCATGCTTTCTCCTTTCTCTCTCTTTCTCTCTCTAAAATCGGAGAAAATTCCATAGGTCCTGACCTAGCTAAATCTCTCTCACTCAGTCGAAACTCGTAGCTCCCATCTCCCTCCAATCTATCAGTCCCTCTGTCCCCCTCCTCTCTTCCCCCTCCCCCAACAACCCTCTGACTGATGCATCAGCCACAGGACACCCACCCGCACATCCCTGCCGAAAATCCTCTCCCCTGACGAAAATCTCCCTCTAACCCATCAACCCTTCTATCCCCCTTCCCTCTCTCTCCTCGAGTCAAAAGCCCAAATCCAGCCGAAAGACACAAAACCCGTTCTTAAGCCCGTGGCAATCTTGTAAATAAAGCGAAATTTGAGCTGATCAAATCAGCCCGGCGGCAAAGTGAAATGCATCCAAAATTGGACAGTGGCACTTCTCCCCCTACTTTAGAAATCAGTCCGGTGGCAAGCTCGTAAATAAAATAAAATGTATCCAAAATTGTGCCACTTCTCCCCCTAGACTAAAGTAATGTGGATTAGTTCTTCAAGTACCGCTCTACTGAGGAACAAAGGTGAGCTAAATCGGGCTATAGTCCAGGTCATTTATTCTTAGAGAACAGTTGCTACGTAGAGAGCCAGCCAACATTCTATTAATCTATTTCGTTGCCAGCAGTAAACCTATTTCTTCTTCACCTAGCCAAACTCTTATCTAAGGCAAGTGATCATTTACAACAGTGATAGAAAGATGTTGAGCTATTGCATGACAATGTGGTTTTAAACTTCGTCGGTAACTAATCTAACAAAATCTATCATTTGACCCAAAAAAAAATTTAAAAAAAAAAAAAAAAACCACCCTTCTCTAAGCACTAGTGACTAGGCCATTTGGTCAAATTTCCTCAAATAGTTGGCCTGTTTTCATGGTTTCTTGGCTTTTTTTTAAATTCTTCTAAATTTTATTGTTTTTTAGTTTATTCTACTACTAGTTTGCTTCATCTTCTAATTTTTTCTTACACTTTTCTTCAAGCTCCAAAACCACGAAGTGGCATATAATAGCGTTGCTTCTTCATCTTCAAATTCAAGAACTTCATTCAAATTCTTTTGCTAGACGTTGAGTTAGTTATATTAAACTATTTGAAATGTTTTGATAGGTTATATATGAGAACGTCATTACAATAATGACAAGGTATCGAAGTTTGCAGAAATCATTTTATTATGGATAGAAAAGGTAAATTAAGTAGCCCAAAGCTTCAGCTTACCCGACTAAAAGTTCGTGGCTCCGTCCCTGACAAGCACCTACTCAATTCAGTAAGGAGCGACAATGCCCTAGGTCTTCAACACATATTTTTGTTTAATTTTGTCTGTTATTTCTATTTTGATTATACAATCTGATGACCAAAAATAGGGAAGGGTGGGTGAGAAGTTGAAAATTGGGTGTGAAAAATCAGCTCCCATTGCTAAAATATTCTGTAATCATCTCAATTTTCATAGGTAATATGTGGATTAGTTCTTCAAGTACTGCTCTCCTGAGGAACAAAGGTGCGCTAAATCCCAGCTATAGTGCAGGTTATTTTATTTTATTTTTTTTCGAAGATGTTGCAGGTTATTTATTCTTAGACAACAGTTGTTGCTATGTAGAGAGCTAGTCAACATTCTATTCTACTGCCCGCGGTAAACCTATTTCTTCTTCTCCTAGCCAAAAACCCTTTTTAAGTATGGCCTGTTTTCATGGTTTCTTGGCTTTTTATTATTTTTCGTTCTTCTAAATTTAAGCGTTGCCTTGATATGGCTTTGAGTCGGAACTGGAATGCAAACAGCGTGAGGCTTAGTAGCTACCGTTGTGGCATCCATTTTGGATTATGTTTGCATCGCGGTGCAGCTTGTTTATAGTGCTTGTAGTGAGCTACTGTTCAACATATATGTGGTTTAAGTTGAATGGTAGTCCAGTTTCTCGTATTTGAATTTAGAGCGATCAAGTAAATTCAGGGAGAGATGTGAAAGAAAGTAGGCATTCGTTAAAAAATAGAAGACAGCAAGACAGCTACTTGATCACGACTTCACGACTTTTCTACTAGAAACAGAGAAATGTGTACAATAATGTTAGCGTCAAGAATCTGTAGGGAAAAGTCTTTAAGATAATCTTGTCAGAGATTTGCTTTTAAAATCAAAGTCGCCATGCAACTAGCGGACCTTCTATTCTTGTGTCATTTTGCGTTATAGAATATCACTTTTAGCTTTTTTGTACATTGCTAAAGGGAAATGATAAGTGCATACTTTTTTTTTTTCTTCTAAACATGGATAACTATTTGATCTTGTCCGTTGTTTCTATTTTTGATTATTCAATCTGATGTCCAGAAATATAAAAGGGTGAGTGAAAGGCTAAAAATAATGTGTGAAAATCAGCTCCCATGGCTAAAATATTCCGTAATCATTTCAATTTTCATAGGTTATACTAGTAAATATGTCCGCGCGTTGCTGCGAAACTTGAATGTACCAACTTTAACTACATGAATAAGACACATTTAACTCGAAAAAAATTCAACGTAATCATGAACGAATAAAAGGGATAGATGAGTGAACAGTGTCGGTAAGATAAGCAGCTTGGCTTTTATATACATTCAACCAAGCTGATTACAAAAGATGTGGTTACAAAAAAAAAAAGCTCTGTTTCCTTGAGAAAAAGAAGCAACAGCCCCGTATGCTTGACCAATGGTTCCATACTCGTTTTCAATCTGGTATAATTGAAACAACAATTAACCCATAGAAAGGTTGTGTTAAGTGCTTCTGGAAAAAGGGTTTGCTGGACAAAATGTTAAGCCTGCTCTCTTTCATCCAAACAAATGATCCTTTAAAATTAGATAAAACCACTACTAATGCTCCCGACCATAAATTAGAACATACTCTTAGTCTTAAAAAGTGTATCACATGTCTACTGGCAAGGCAAGATTGTAACCCACTGAGTTTCTGGTGACAAAATCACCAGCAAACTAACTATATGTATAGGAGCCGGAATATGTATCACATCATTCTTTAGTGCTTATCAAGAGTATTTTCTATTAGCATGTTTACGAATTCTCTAGTATGTTGATCAAAAAGTAAACAAATTCTCTTATGTTTTCAGTAATCGTACTTGCGGTGAAAAAAACAATGTTTACTGATGCATTCTAATTAAGGACAAATAATAATCCGCCAATGGAATTAGATCTACACAGTCAATTGAACATGTCAAGTAAAATCATATGGCAAGGTGGACTTCCTCTTCTTCTGCATTTAATGGTGAATTGAAGACCAATGCCAGAGGTAAAACAAGAGTAAGTACAACCCGACTGCAGCAACAAAAACACAACTGACTTTCACACTATAAAAATAAACACATACTTGCACCCAATGCATTTTTTTTTTCTGTGTTGTATAAGAATAAAGAAGGATAACATTCCCCTGAAACCAAATTCATCCCCCAATTTCTTGCAATAAAGAGGGAGACCAACCTTGTGTTCTCGGAGAACAGTAGAACAATTAGACACAACCAGACTGATCCAACTTCCCACTATGATAATGAAAAACTAAAATTAATAAAATAGCTCAAATCATATCACAGTATGTCACAAAGTACACCATTTGATAATCAATAAATTTAACAAAAATGGATTCAACTCACTCCAAGGTAAGCAAGCTTATTAATCATCTTGTCATAGTAGTAAGTGAACTTGAAATTCCCCTCTAACGTGACCAACCCTTTTTTATCCATAGTTAAAGACCCTAAAAATGTAAACGCCTTATCCATACTCTAAATTTACACCCTTACACCCCCCATTTTCCTAGACTTTCTCAGGAACAAAACAAAACATATAACACTCAAAATCCAAATCAAACAAACTAAAATAACCGAGGGGGAGACCCCCATCATGCTCTCTAAGGACATTGCAATGATTTGAGACAACCAGAGTGATCCAAGTCCTTACTGTGATCATGAAAAATTATAATCAATAAAATCACTCAAATCATATACAGCATATCACAAACTATGCCATCTGATAATCAATGAATTTAACAAAATTTAAAATGAATTGGAGTCGCTCCAAACAGTGATATTATACATATACATTTACAACAACAAAAAATTCAGTTTTTAGCAACTGGGATCAAAATAAAAATACAAAAC